CTGTGTTTTCTTTTGCAACATGACTAATATGGAAATATGGTTTGCATAATTGCACTTGTATAACATATCAAATTGCTTTCTGTCTGGGGGGAGGGGTAGAAGGGAGGGAGAGAATTTGAAATTCAAATTTTCTGGGTGTGTATGTATGTATTATGTATGCCTTTAAACAGTATTCCATAAAGGTCATCCTAAGGTATTAAAAAAATTTAGCAGGTAAAATTGGAAAATAATTTGGAGATGCCTGGCTTCAAGTAGTCACTCTAAGAATTTATTCACTACCCCCAAAAGGCAGCTCTGGCATTATTCTCTCCACAAGGGACTTGATATTGTAAGCCAGAAGAGATAAGACCCTTCATGAGGGCAACATATTTCCAGCTCCTAATTTCACATGTTGTAGAAACTCATTATTAAAAGAATTCTAGTTGACATCTATAAATGTCATACTATAAAGAAGGAAATATTTCTAAAGTAACCAACATCCAAACAATGTAGCTGAATAGTACTTCTCCAAGTTAATTTGACCACAAAAAATATTTTTTGTAGTTTGAAATTTACATGGACAGAAGGCATAATAAGAGCTGGACAAGGGAGCCTTGAGTATCCCCAGGACAAAAGAAGAAAGGGGGGAGAGTACAAAATACATTAAGCATATTTGAAGAGGTGTAACAATGAGTAAAAATTGTGAAACTAAGGTGCTTCTTGGGAAAACACTGCTAGTATTAAATTCTCATGGAAACTTCATTTCCTTTTTGTGGAACCATGTAGGACCGTGCAGAATGTTATAGTCACCACCATAAAAGTTGATATCCTTGCAATCTGTTTTTTCCACTTGGTCCATTTTTCTTGTTACTTTGACTGCTGTCCAGACTTCCTCAGTGATGTTAATGCTTATCTTAATGGTCTTTACCATCCCATCCCCTACCACTTCTCCTTGAAGTCCTCAGTGATTATATTCACTCCCCCAAGCTCCCATCTTCTCCATACCTCAAAAATGGAATACCTCAATTCCAACAACCTCCTCCATTCTACTTCAGTTACACACTGGCATGTTTAAACCTTAGACTTTACCATTTTATAGAACTGCATCATTTCTAACATCCTAAGTTTCAAAATTATCTTCTTTGGCCACCTCTTCCATTAAACTTGCCCTTGCATTAATTATAAACCTGGATTCCATGATCAGTCTTCTCTAGATTTGCTTCACTTGTCTTTATACCAAATCTTTTACCTGGACTTTGACAGATCTTCAATTTCAAGTATCCTTTATCCTTCCAATTCTTCCATTTGGCTGTTGAATATTATTAGAAAGCATCATGTCATTTACCCACTCTAAATTAATGGCTGATAACTTAGACTGTTTCTGCAGTGGTACACTGCATCCCTTCCTATCTACTCTTTATTTTTCCCAGCGACTGTTCCAGCACTTTTTTCCCCCCTCAAACCCTCAACTTTACCTTTATTACTACCATTACCACCGCCACCACTCATCCTGACACAGCAAATGAGTTAGTGGAGTAGCAGATTAAGATTGGAGACACTCAATAATATTTCAATTCTCAAAACTCACAGGTGTTCTCATTCATTTTCTCCTATCTTAGAATACTTCTAAGTTCCCCCCCCCACACACACACCCTACTCTTTACTAAAACTAGTCCTCCTACCTATATATTTGATCTTGTCTGTCTCTCCTGTCACTTCTAGAACTTTGTTCCAGTAAGCATTCTTTTCTTATGCATCATCAATTTCTTCCTTCCAGTTCCTCCATCAACCAACATGCCTGGTCAGGTGGCTCTCTACTACCTCTAGAGTAAAATACAAAATCTTGTTTGCCATTTAAAGGCTTTAAAAACCTAACTCCAACTTACCTTTCTAGCCTTATCAAGGCTGTGCTGGTAAATAATTAACAATGAGCTCTCAAAAAAAATGTACCCACAATAAACTTTTAGGTTCAACCTGTATTTTTAACATTTTCTCCATCACTTTCCTAAGTCTAGATAAGCAACAAAACAATAAATGAAGCCCAGCATTTGCTGGCTTCCAAGGGGTTTCTGATGCTCACTGCACAATTTTTCAAGATGGCACCAGCATAACCCTGAGCCTTATTAGACATTGTTTCCTTTTACAAACTTTATGGTTTGAAATGGATGACCTGAATTCAGCATTCCATGTTCCATCTTTATGCCATCGTGTATACTGTCCCCTGTTCTAGGAGTGCAATCCTTCTTCACCTGTCTCTTAGAACTCCTCATTTCCTCCAAAGCTCAGTTGAAATACCATCTTCTATGAAATGTTTTTCTTGATTCCCTCCACAACTAGTACCTTCCACTGTCTCCCCCCCCAAAAAGACTTGTGTTTATTTTCTATATACTTATTTGTGTATCTTTTCTCTCTGCCCCTCCCACGCCAATATAAACTCCTTGAGGTCAGTGATGGCCTTTTTTTGTCTTTTTGTCCCCAGCATCTAACACATGGTGGGCACTTAATAAATGCTTATGCATTGCCTCTCCCCATAAAAACAAAATCTACTTGGTAATACCCTTCCCTACTAGAGCTGCTCTTAAAAGTAACCACCCACCTAGCTGCCAAATCCAAAGACCTTTATTCAGTTCTCATCCTCCTTGACCTTTCTGAACCAGGACATAATTGACCAATTTCTCTTCCTCCTGGATACTTTCTTCATCCTTGACTGACTCTACATTTTCTTGGTTTTTCTTTTTCTGGCTCCTGGTCTTCAGCCTGACTCAAGAGATTTAGAGCTAAAAGCAACTTTAAAGGTCACTTAGGCTAACTCTTCATTTTACAGGGGGGGGAACCTAAGTCCCAGAGAAGTTAAGTGACTTGCCCAAGGTCACACAGAAGTCATAGATGGGATGTGAACCAAAATCCTCTGATTGCAGAACCAGTGATCTTTCTACAATGCTACATTGCCTAATACATGAACATCCCACTGGCATCTCATGCCCAAAAGCCAACCTTAGTTTCTCTACAATCTGTTCCATCTAGGATACAGTTGAAAACTTATTTGGCTATGGAGTCAGAGGACCTGGGTTTAAATCTAGCCTTTTATGCTTACTATGTGTGTGACCTTGTCCCTGGGCCTCCGTTTCCTTATCTGTAAAGAGAGAAAGACAGAGAGAGAGAAAGAGAGAGAAAGAGACAGACAGACACACAGAGACAGACAGACAGACAGAAAGAGGGAGACAGAGAGAGAGAGAGAGAGAGAATTGGACTAGATGGTTCTGAGGTTCTTTCCAGCTCCAAATCTACGATCTTATTTTATTCAGTGGCATTACCATTCAACTTGTGGGCAGCTAGGTGTTGAAGTGGATAGAGTGCCAGGCCTGAAGACAGGAAGACTTATCTTCCTGAGTTTAAATCTGGCCTCAGATGCTTACTAGCTGTGTGACCCTGGGTACACCCTAATTGCCTCACCAAAAAAAAAAAAATCCCAACTCAAGTCATATTCTGCAGGAATCCTTTCCCAGTCTTTCTCTACCCCCTTGAAATGCTAGAGACTTACTCTGTAAAGGAACCTTATATCTATTCTGAATATATCTTGTATATACTTCTTTACATACATATTTTCCCCTCCTTAAGAATATAAGCTCCTTGAGGGTAGATAATAAGTGTTTAATAAATACTTGTTGATAGATGAGAGAGAGAGCACACAAAAAAGATAATTATCAAGTTCTAACAATCTTGTCTTCAATATTTTTTCCATTTCTGCCACTACTATCCTAATATAGATCCTCTACCACTCATTTGGATTTTGCAATAATCTTGAGCTAGGCTTCCTTCCTTGACTTTGTTCTCTTCTTTGTTAAATTCCTGCCTATCTTTTAAGGTTAATCTCAAATGTTACCACCTCCTTTGTGAGGTGGTCTTCCCAGATCCCCCCAGTAGGTAATAGCCTCTCTCTTATTTGTACCTTTATAATGCACTAATAAAAATATCTGTGTGCTTATTATTCAAAGGATCCTTGGCCTAGAGTTGGACGGGACCACAGAAATCTCCTAGTTTAAGCCCCTTATGTTACAGATGAGAACCAAGGAGATTCTGATTTGCCCAAGGTTTCAAGGTAGTAAATATCAACTGATTAATCAATCAAAATTTGTTCAGCACTTGCTGTGTGCCAGATGAACGTTTGGGAGGGTCTGAAGGAAAGTGTGGGAGAGAAGAGGTATTAGGCTGCCTACCAAACTGAAGGACCACAGAGCTATTGTGCTGACCTTATTGTTGTATGCCTGTGAAAGCTGGACAAGAAACTGAATCGCTTCCATTTGAATTGTCTTAGGAAGATTCTGAAGATCACCTGGCTGGATAAAATACCAGTCACTGAGGTCCTTTCTCCAGCCGAACTGCCAGTCATTCAAACCCAAGAGCTGTTGTTGTTGTTGTGTGTCCTTTGTTCTGGAAGAGGACCATGACATCAGGGAGGTGATGCCATGACTTGCAAGTGAATTGGATTTAAGGGAGGGAGGGCTGTGTTAGATCACCAGCCTCACTTTCTCTTTCAGAGCCACCTGGGTCCAGTGGCAAGATACAGAGCAGGATGACTGGAGATGGCCCCCAAATGCCCAAAGTACATTTGCCTAAAAGACTATTTTATAGAGAATTCACACAAGGCAAGAGTTCACATGGAGGTCAGAAGAAGCGATACGAGCATACTTTTGAGGTCTGTCTGAGACCTTTGGAATAGGTTGCAAGACGTGAGAGACACAGGACCACCCAGCATGGCGTGCCTGCATCAAAGAAGGCTCTGAGCTCTACGAGCAAAGCAGAATTGCAGTTGCTCAAAAGAAATGTGAGATGTGCAAATTTAGAGAATCCACCCAAATGTTCGCATGGACTAATTGTAGCTGACTTGTAGAGCCTTCCAAGCTTGTATTGGTCTGATCAGCCACAGTTGGACTCACTGACACCAACACCTGATGGCATTTGGGTCCTCTCTGAGCACAAGGGACAATAATTAACCAACTAACTCTGTGTCAGCCATGGTGCTAGGCATTAAGGATACAAATAAACACCTAATTTCCACAAAAAGAAGGATTATGGCTTATTTAACCTGTATTCCTTCCAAACATTTTGTCCAGCAGGTACTTAATGTTTTTAAAATCTCCCCTAAGACAAATTAGTTAGCAAGTACAGTCATCATGCTCTTTATCAGGCAGTCCATGTGGCAGCCAAGCTACTGTATTTAATTGAGCTAAGCAATCGACAAATTCATTCAATTTTCCAATGAGGACCTAAGCTTGTAGAGTTTATAGCTGGAAGGGACCATCTAAGATACCACCACTTTCATTTTATGGAAGAGCAAAAAAAAAAAACAAACACAAACCTGAAGCCAAGTGACTTTGCAAAGTCAAATGGGTAATATATTTAAGCAGAGCCAGCATTTGAACCCAGGCCATCTGACTCTAATTTCAGGACTCTTACCACCTCCCACTCTCTGCTTCCTACTCTAGCTATCTATTACAAGTGGTAGGTGTGTGTACTCAAATTCTAAAATGCATACCGCAGAAAAGTAATTCTCAAATAAGGATCAAGGAAGCTTGAAAGATCAAGTTATTATTGTAAAATTGTAATGCCTTGATTTTATCTAGTTCACTAAGTTCCTTTATTAGAGAGCACAGTTTTTTCTTCTCCCCTAGTTTCTCTGCAGTATGGGCAAGACAGAACGTGAATAAGTATCTTGTTGAGGAGGAAAACCACCCTTTATTGGTATTTCAATAGAAATAGTAAATTATCTGGTCAGGGAGAATTCAGTTAGGAAAATTCTAGTTAAATCTTAAAGAAAAGAAAGAAAACTACAATTCTCTTTATTGCTAGCATAATTTGAGGCAGCTAGGTGGCATAGTGGGTAGATGGCCAGACTTGGAGTTGGGAAGACCTGGCTTAGTTCAAATCCTGTCTTAGATACATGCTAGCTGGGTGACCTTGGGCAAGTCAATTAAACTCAGCCTCAGTTTCCTCATCTAAAGTAAATGGAATTTATGGCCTCTAAAACCCCTTCTAAAGTCCTCCAAGTCTATGATCCTGTGAATTAGATCAAGAGTCCTAGACTAGGATACAGGCATAATCAACGCTCATCTTTGCCAGATCTGTTATTTAAAGTCACGTGGTCCTACTAGCCAGAAATTAGCTACGAAAAGGCAGAGTGCTGGTGATTTGTTGTAGCTTGTAAGCTGAGACTTTGAAGAGACTTGTTATTTCTAAGGCTAACTAATAAGGCCAAGCACGTGTGGGGAAAATGTTCTAAAACTGAAGTAAGAGAATAGTAAGGAACAAGTGAGGAATATTACAAAGGAATAGTCAAAAGGACTTGGCAACTGAATGTTATGGGGAGAAGAGGAAAGAACTAAGGCTAAGTCTGTTTTCCAAGATCCCCAGATGCTGATTAAAGGGAGAATGAGTAATAAAAATAGGAAAGCCTGCATGAAAAGATGGTTTTGGAGGATAGATGGAGTTATGTTTTAGATGTTAACATGTGATATGTCTCCCCAAATCTTGAAGCAGGTACTGTTTGCAAAATGGAGGTTAAACAAACATACAAATGCCAAGATATTCAAGCTACCAGGATAGAATTAAAGTCCAATTCTAAGTAAAACACATTCCTCATTCCTCCCACCCCTAGATCCTTTTAGCTTATACGACACGTTCCGTGTTCCATGTTCCATGTTTCATTTAAGAGCGATATATCATCCTAAGTGGCTCATTTAAAAATACAGATCTACTTAATATGTAGAATTAAAAGTAATAATGTTATGCTTTAGTTGCATCTAACTCTTCATGACCCCCTTTTAGGGGGTAGTGGCACATTTCTTGGCAAAGATACCAGAGTGGTTTTCTATTTACTTCTCCAGCTCATTTTAGAAGATGAGTAACTGAAGCAAACAGGGTTAAATGACTTGTCCATGGTCACACAGCTAGTAAGCATCTGAAACTGGACTTGAACTCAGGAAGATCAGTCATCCTGGCTTCAGACCTGGCACTCTATCCACTGTGCCACTTAGCCAGTCCAACAATAATAATGATAGCTAGATCTAGAAATCTATTTTTTAAGTGCCTCCCTTACATGGTTGTTTAATAACAATAATAATAATAGCATTTATATAGCTTTTAAGGCTTACAAAGAATTTTACATATCTTATTTCATTTGATCCTCACAACAGCCTTGTAAGGGAGGTGCTAACAAACAAAAACAGATTTTTTTGGATTTCTACTTTATGGTTCCATTGTTGTCGGTATGGGTTTTGAACAGGACAGGACAGCTTACAGCACACCCTGATGGTAGGTTTTGCATAATCAAGCTTGAGCTCATCTCTCAGCACCTTGTTATTGCAGTGACTAGTTTTGAAGATCTAATTTGGAAGAAATGGGTAATAATGTCAAGGATGAGAAGGAGAGTTTTGCGGTCTTTGACAGTGAGCAGATGGAGCAGAGGTTTCAGGATTCCAGCCTTGATGATTTCAAGCATCTGGTGCAGTGTTCCCTGACTTGTGAAGTTAGTCACTGTCCAAATAACCTCTTTCTTGACTTTGAATTTTCCTACAAAAGAAATAGATAACATTCTTGACATTCTCTACAGACCCAAAGAGGGAGAGAAGAGTCATGCCTGTCTCATTCTATTTCCAGGGGGACTTAATGAGATTACAAATGGAATTTACATCAACACCTTGGTGAATGGAACCCGACTGCTTCAGTCATTTGTAAGCAGAGCTAATGGGATATGCCCAAGATGAAGGAAAGAGAAACAGTTAGGATTGAAGACATAGCCAACTGGGCTTCAGAGGTTTACTCAAGTTGACTTTGATCTCCTCTCTAGGAACTATGTAAAGTAGCAGAATGTTAAGCTATCTGGGAGATACATGAACTTCTTAGAATAAGAATCATCCTAATCATTTAGGAACTTATCATGTTCAATTATCTAAATTTCTAGATCTTTCCTTGCTATCTGAGGACCTTGGGCAAGCTAATTAGCTGCCACAAAACGTAGAGCCTCTTTTAACATGTATTGGATGGCTAAGAAAAAATAGAGAAGGAATACAAGGCTACTAAAGTGTTAAATTAATAAGTATTTTGTATTTATAAAGCACATTCCCCAGAGGGTTTTAAAATGTTTTCATCACAGAATTCTCCTTTATTTCAGTGATCCCAGGAGGTTGGTAGGAAGTGGAAGGCATTAGTCGAATTTCCCAGCTAAAACTTAGGTGAAGCAACTTCACTGAGTCTAAGACACTAAAGTGTTCAGGCATAACCTGAGGCGGAATTTAGCTCCTCGATTTCTAATCAGATCTATTCAGAAATAAAAGAAGCTTTCTGGTAAGAAAAAATGGTATTTAGTAGTCAAGTTATTATGACGAATTGGAAGGCACCTTGTCCATTTCCAAAGGATCTCTTTTGCATGGTTTTAATATAACCAAATAGTTGTCTGTTTTTTAATATGCTATTGCTCAAGATGTGCCGTTTCACTTGGGTTAGTTTTGTGTAAAACCAAAAATTTACACTATGTCACCCTAAACAATCAATAGGAGGGAGATTTCACTTTTCAAAACATTCAGCAAATGTGGATACTGTTAAAATATCTTTATAATCAGAGTCACTTTATAATCAGAGAGTGGCAAAGTGAGTCATTTGTTTACTGAAGTCAGACTCAAAATTTAAGGTTTTTTAAAAATAGTGCTAGTTGCAGAGGTGAGAAGGTCCACTGGAGTGGAATATTTCATATACATCAGACAGAGTTGATATGTTGACTTTGCTGAGCTGCTTTGCCTCTTCTGTGTTCCAAGGGATGGCTTGCTGGAGAGGTAAGGGGGACGACTATATTTGGAAATGAAAGTTTTGTTGAAAATGAAAGGAACCCCATTATTTACTTTCAATTGCTAGGTTAAATTTTGTTTAAATAAAGTAGTCTGTAGCCATCCAGAGAAAGACCAATCGTTGCAATCAGACCTTATTGCTATAGCTAGTAGCAGACAAAGACCAGTGCTCTATTTAAGCAAACATTTATGAGCTACCAATGTCCAACACACTGTTCACCTAGTCTTAAAGGAACTGATTTAGTTCAGGTCATGAAAAGGAGCTCCCACCCTCTCTCCTCCCAGTCCCCACCTTCTTGTCAAAGGTACCTGGGCATCCTGCTTCCATTTCTTAGCAGGGCCACTAAGGATAGAAGCAGCCCACAAGTAATAAGCTTCTATATCTGTTCATAAGATCCTGAGTTCCCAAACAGCCTCCTTCTGGGCAGAGGGTCTCTAGTGATGCAGGAGATGGAGCAGCATTGTCAAGAAACCTACATCAATGGCCACCTGGGTTTGTTGATCTGTCCCAGTCACAAGTTACCGACTGCATAGAGGGAGGGGATCTGGAACAACAGAGACCAGAGGTTAACCCATGACAGTTTCTTTAGATGTTTCTAGGAGACACTTAAATGCACAAGAGTCCATTCTTCTCCCCCTCTTCTGATAAGGTGATCCTTGCTTTTCTACCCAGTGTTGTAGTTTCAAACTGCTCACCAGCATGTTTGTAATTTTTATGTTTGTTATTGGCTGCCCTAGAAAATAGACTAGTCATCAGAGATGAGCCACTTGGGGGTTCACTTCTTGGGCTTTGTTGCTCTTCAAACTTCTATGCCAAGGGTTCCTAACTTGAACATCTATGGATAGATCTAAGAAGCTCTGTAAACTTGGATGGAGAAAAAAATTACATCTTTATACCTTTAACAGAAATTTAGCATTTCTATCAATTTAAAAAAAGTTTTTTTAAAACATTCCAAGAAGGGCTCTACAGACTTCACCAGAATGCCAAAGGGATACAAAACACACACAAAAAGATTAAGAACCTGTGCCATAAGTGGAAATATCCAGAAACAGAGACCCCCTTATTACTTACTAATCAGAGCAGCAGATGCCAGAACACTGTATGTGCTAAGGCCTCCTGCATCAGGTGGAAAACAGTGAGCCTTCCAGGGTAAACAGTATGAATGCTGAGGTGGACCCACAGGGCTTCCTGGTTTGGGGCACTGGCACCTGCTAAACTCAGGCTCAGACTATCTCTACGTGAAAGGCATTGAGTATCCCACTCTTCCAACCTAGGCATCTGTCTCACAAGCATCTATTTGGGTAAGATGAAAACTACATAATAATATAAATTCATGGAACAACTGATATTCCCCAAAAGAGGCATGGAACCAAGTGTTATTTCTACCACAATTTTACACAGCAAGTATACTTAGTAGTCTATATTTAAAAAAATTAAAAAAACAAGGACTTTTGGTCTTCCCAAGGGAGGAAAGGGACTTATGTTAGGGAGGGATAAGAACAGGGCAACAGATGGTTTAGCAGTTATCAAAAAAGCTCAAACCAATCACGTGAAGGACCAGATCTTGCAAATCATTTAAATGTCATTTATATGGCATTTTATGTATATTATCTGATCTGAATCTCGCAACAGCTCTGTGGGGGTAAATGAAGCTACCACAATGCCTTCACATCAGAAGAGTATAAGCATTTCTTGAATGAGTCAGCAGCAGACTAAAAAACCTAGAACACTGACTATCCCAGTGAACTAGAACCTAACCTCTCACATCTACACCATGGCTTTAGAGGACAGGGAGGTTTTTTTTTTTTTTTAACATTTCCTAATAAGGTTTTTCAGTGGAAAACTTGAGCACCAGAGTGGATTTACCATCCTAGTCAGGTATGGGCTGCTTATGAAGTAGAATAGCCTTGGAAGGACCCCAGTCTGCACCACTTGGTTAATCCTCTGATTGGGACCATCAGTAAGATCTGACAGAGCCCAGCAGGCTTCTGACAGAATCTCACCATCTTGGTGTTGCAAGAATTGGAGAAGAACTGGCAGGATCTGCCGCACTGCCTTTGCACAAGGGTATGGGTTCTTCTTCCAGCAGAGGCTGGACAAAGTCCATGTCACATTCCACAGAAATGTGATCTACAAAGACGTTGACAGAAGACTTCTTCAAATTTAATACCGAAAGGAAAGAATGCATATAACAGACAAGTGAGAAAAATCCTGTTCTTTGTCATATGTAGCAGGCTCCCTCCTTTATGTAACAATATTGACTAGCAACAGGAAGGAATCTTTCCAGCTTCACTAATATGCCCTTGAAGGGAATGATTTGTATGACTCCTGAATGGTGGAGGGATTAACAAGATTAATCTAACAGTCACTACTATAAATACTTAGGGGTAGCTAGGTGACCCAGTGGATAGAACGCTGGGCCTGGAGTCAGGAAGACTCATCTTTGTGAGTTTAAATCTGGCCTCAGACACTTACTAGCTGCGTGACCCTGGGCAAATCACTTCACCCTGTTTGTCTCAGTTTCCTCATCTGTAAAATGAGCTGGGGGAGGAAATGGTAAACCATTCTAGTATCTTTCCCAAATGGGATCACAAAGAGTCAAATGTGACTGAAAAGACAAGAACAACAACTCTACATGCTTATTCCCCTTCCTTTCCCTTCCTCTACTGTTTCATGTTTGCATATTTGCATGTACTTTAGGATCACCAAATGCTTACCTCACAACGTGAGGTATGTAGTATAAGTATTAGTGTCCCTACTTCACAGGTGAGGAAACTGAGGGTCAAAAAGTTACCTGACTTGCTCAAAGGCTAGTAAGTGTCTGAGGTAAGATTTGAACCCAGGTCTCATGACCTCAAAGTAATAAAGAAACTTCCAATAAATAATCAGGTTGGTTGTCCTGTCTTTGTTTTTTGATTCATCAGTCCCTTTACTTGTATGTATAATCTTAATTTGACAGTAAGGATCATGGGGACAAGGAGAGGAAGGCATATGAAACAGTTGAAAGAAGCCTGGCTGTATAATCAGAGGACTTGCTTCTGTTCATTTTTCATCTCTAGTTCTGGTTGACTCCTCAAACAGCATGCTCCCTACTCCTTTTCTGCCTCCTTTTATGTATTGTCTTTCCCTCAATAGATTATAAGCTCCTTGAGGGCAGGGCCTGTTTTTTCTTTTTGTTATTTGCATCCCCAGGGCTTGTCACAGTGTCTGGCACTGTAGCAAGATGCTTAATAAATGTTTATTGACTATTGATTGTCATTTACTACAGATGAGACATTTATTAAGCACCTGCTAAGTGCCAAGCATATGCTAGGCACTGGGGATGTGAGTACAAAGAATGAAACAATCCCTACTCAAAAGGAGCTTACATTCCAATGAGATAATATGTCTTGGGAGGGGCTTAGTTTCCCCATCTGTAAAATGAGAGGTTTGGATTACATGGCCTCTAAGGTCCCTTCCAGGTCTAAAATTGGTGATCCTATGAGCAGAGACCACAGAACAAAAAGTTTAAGAGCGCTCTTTGGTCACTGAGTAGAGAGTGGAATCAGTCTTTAAACACTTCCCTATCCTTTACTATATGAGTAGACCCTAGATCCAGAATATGCAAATAGTTCTACATCAAGGGTCAACAGTGATTCAAGCACCACCTCTCCAAGACCACCTCTCCAAAGCCCCCAGTCCCAAGAAGATAAATGTTCTATGTAGAAACATTTACAGGTTTAGTAGGTGAGACCAGGGATAAGAGAGAAGGGATCACTTCACAGAAGATAAAGGCCTCTCTCAATTCAGGGCCATCACCTGGGTATAAAACAAGAGTGTCAAGGTCAAAAAACTAAAAGAAGGCTACAGTAATGGCTACAATATAAATGGAAAGACAAACAACGCCCAACCCATGAAAAACAAAACTAATTATAAGGAACAATATTGTCTCTAAAGAGATGAGAAAACCTCTCTACCTTCTTTTTTGGCAGAGATGGCAGGGACTGTGGACAGGCAACATGGTCAGACTGACATGGTTGATGTGTTTATTGGTTAGTTTTGCTAAACTGCCCTTCTCCTTCTTAGTCAAATCCTTTTAAATTCTTTGTTAGGAGGCACAGCTTTCTGGGGAGTGGAGGAAGAAGGGATACTTTTGGAAATGAAGTTGATATGAAAACAGAAGACATCAATCAAAATTTAAAATTTCAGAAGAAAAAAATGGAAAAAGCCATAAACGCTAACTAATGTGGGTTAGGTATTTCCATTTTTGGTGGGTCATTTCAGTGGGGTTCAACTCTTTGGCCAAGATGCTGGAGTGGTTTCCTTCTCCAGCTCATTTTACAGATGAGGAACTGAGACAGATAGGGTTAAGAGACTTGTCCAAGGTCTGAGGCCAGAGGCCAGAGGTCAGATTTGAATTCAAGAAAAGGGGTCTTCCTGATTCCAAGCCTACTGCTCTATCCACCGGGTCATCTAGCTGCCTAGATAAAATGCTTTATTTGACTGAATAATCTAGTCTGCTCAACCCCTCATCAATGTGCCCTCATCAGTGAACCAGAATTCACATTTCTCTAGAATTTTAAAGTTTGCAAAGCACTACCCATCCAACCCCCACAACAGTTTCCTGAGGTAAAGTAGTACACCCATTTTAAAGATGGGGAAATTGACAGAAACCAAGTGACTTTTCCAGGTTTCTTTCCAAATAGTTTGCTTCCATTTAGTATTCTCCTTCCTTTTTGGGGGGGGGGCGGGGTCTGTGGTGGTGAGGGGAGGCCAAACTCATTTCATTGGTATAAGCAACTCTTAATGAGGAAACTCTTTCTACCAATGTATAGCAGTAGCTATTCTGCAAAATACGGCAGAGTGTTGCCTGGAGTACTGAGAGGTTAAGTAACCTGTTCAGGGTCACACAGCCAGTGTGTATCAGAGGTGAGATTTGAACTCTGGTCTTATTGACTATAAGACCAGCTCTATATCTGTGTTACCATATTGCTTCTTTCTGTTTAGCTTCTTAAAAAGCAAAACAAGACAAAAGTTATTTCAGGCTACTCCTAGGGGATTCTGGAGCAGGGAAGAGAGGTGGCAAGCTGTTAGTGTTTTGATTTTTAACAATCACACAAGAAGCTAGTAGGTGTTCATTATCAGATCTCCATGAAATTCCAGCAAGACTTTGCCAGCTTTTGTACCGGAGGCCTGCATTCCTCAGCCAACTGACGGCTTTGTCTTAGCCAAGAGATTTGTCTGCCTAACCTTCCTTATGCCTCCCTAAAGTAACAGTCTCCTGCATGACACAGGACAGACAGACCCTTCAGAACAACTATTTATAAAAAGTATTTGTTATACTGTCCTCAGTCATCCAGAAAGGCAAAGCTGACAGCTCACCTGCTGTGTGTTCCCTAGTGCCCACACAGCTTACTCACTGATGTGTAAGTATGGAGAAGAGAGGAGTTCCATCAATAGAGGGACAGGACAGCCCTGGCATCCACAGTTGCCTTGGTCTGTTCAGATGTTCCCAAAGCAATGTTTGTCAGGTCCCAGACTGCCCCAAACTGCAAGTCAGGACTACAAGACAAGCTCAGAAATGTCACCAGCTTGGGAATGAATCCTGTTCCAACAGACACATTTAGGGGTGCGTTTCTTTTTCTAGATAACATCTTCCTGTAGAATCAAAGATGAGATTTAGGATGAGGAAAGGCAGGAAAGAAAGATGCTTTCTTGTAGCATCCCTACATTGTTCAATAGCATACATGGCTCTGGGTCATCCACTGCAGCTCAGCCTGTAGTATCTTGTGTTGATGAAGCAACATGTTTATTTTTCCCTACAGGTATTTTCTATGACTTAAAATTCTTGTAGAGGCCAGTTGAGATGAAGCAATTCCTTCTCAGACATCCCACGGTATCCTTGAAGTTGTGATCAAGGAGAGCCCAGAGCAGCAATCTAGGCTGTTGCTGGTTTGTGGGCATGAAGCCATTGTCAAGAAGTGAAACAAGTTACTTATTGTAAGAGCTCAGTGTTGGGTTATGCAACAAGACAGACTCAGAAGACTGATGTAAGCATAGCTGACTGCCTGGGTGGCCTTGAAATGGAATTCTGGGTCACTTTCCATTCACAGCCTTGACTATTTCCTCCATTGTAAAATTAACCTGCAACAAAAGGCTGCACTTAGATTATAAAAAGGTGATCTTTCCCCGATATAGAATGCCACATGCCAGTTCTTTTACTATGGGCCATAGCTATTTAGCTCAGAAAGATCAAATACTTTCAAAGTAAATGATACTAGTGACATCTTAATTCCTTTCCCCTTTCCTCAATCATTGCATACTCCTAGGGTGTGTGTTTTCATTTGGACCTGTGATTTCACTGGGAGAGTTCTGGTGAGGAAACCTGCAATGTGGACCAGCAATTTTGTCAGAAACTTCTGAACTTAGAAACTTGTTTGAAAGGGCATTGAATGGTTAAGTGACTGACTGTCCAGGGTCACAAAGCCAGTATGTGTCACAGGTGAAACAACCTTGATAAATGTGTCAAACCTTTATACTAAAGAATATTATAATAAATATAACATTATAATAGAGAATAAAATTATCAAATCTGTTCTGAGGATGAATTATTAATATGTGCTACAATGGGCTTCCTTAGCCATCTTTCCTTTACAAAAGGAGGCACTAGAACATCCTGCTGCAAGTAATAACGGGCAACCTGGAAGACAGATCCTAGATGTTATGGTATAGGAAAAGACCAGTATAATCTACCTCAATGGGATATATTCTAATGTAGGTCTAGATAAACTCCAATACACTTGTTCATTCAATCAGTCAATCAATACGCATCTACTACATGCAAGGCAAAAGATTTCCAAAACTGACTTAGAGGAACAGTTAGAAAACTATGACAACAGGCCTGTCAAGAAAGGATGAGGGATTGAACAAACTAGGGTGGCAGCCATGTGAATGGAGAGAAGGAGATGTGAAGAGATGTTGGAGGTTGAATCAAAAAACAACCGATTGGATAGGAAGGATGAATGATAGGAGAGTCCAGCATGACTCAGAGCTCATGGATGCCTGGGAGGATCCCAATTAAATGGGAAGTTTGGCAGCATGGTAGCAGATAGAATTCCCCTGTGGACATACTGAGTTTGAGATGCTGATATCCTGTCCAAGAGACTATGTTCAGTAAGCAGTTGGTGATGTAAGAGAGGAGTTTAGAAGAGAGATTAAGGTTGAATCTTTGGGAGTCATTAGCATAAACATAATTGAATATATGGGAGTGGGTAAGCTTGCCTAGGGAGAGAATAAAGATAGAAAAAAGAAGAAGGCCTAGGACAGATAAAGTATGTGTTGAGGTTTCTAACTTTTTTCCGCACCTGGTCTACCTTACTCAGGTTCCTTAAAAATACAACGCCCAAGGATGTGCCAAGCAGATACAACCTTTGCTCTGTCTAGAAATACCTACTTTCACTTCCAGTTTTTTTCTGTCCTAATAAGCTGGACTGAACAACCAAGAAAGAAGAGGATTTTCTTTTACTTTTTTGTCTTGAACAAGTGCAAAGCAAAGGTTTTCTGCTTCCTATTGTCTGGCTCACGACGGCCAAAAGTCACCTCCCAAACAAAAGGTACCTCCTGTCCCTAGGCCCCAAAGCCAAAGCCCCACTTTTGGGAGGAGGGGGTCTGATACAAACACTAACTTTGTAGAATTCTAAGTAAACTCTGCTATAGATGTAGTACTGTTTGTTTGACAAATTTCCGTTTTCATTGTGTGCATATAAGTACCATGACCCCTCCTTTCCCCTCAACCTCCTTCCCATTCTTGCCTTCATTTCATACATGGATATTCCTTTAAAGTGCTGAGAATGAGAAAGTGTTAGAATAGTAACTCCCAATTAACTTTAGGTTTACAAAGTACTTTTTAAAAACCTCAGTCAATGGAATAGGATATTCTATAAGGCAAAGGAGCTTGGATTACAACCAATGAAAATGACCATGATCTTTCAGGGGAGGAGATGGATGTTCAACGAAATAAGGGACTTCCAAACCTTCCTGATAAAAAGACCAGAGCTTAACAGAAAATTTGATCTTCAAATACAAGACTCAAGAGAAACATAAAAAGGTAAACAGGAGAAAGAAACAACATGTTATTAATAGGAGCAAACTGTTTACATCCCTACAAGGGAAGATGACACTTGTAACTCTTGAGAACTGCATTGGTATTACACCATGTTAAAGGGATATACATAAAGGGGGTTGGGTATAAATTGCCTTTGATGTAATGATAAAAAAAATCTAATCAAGTGGGTTAAATGGATCCAAGTAAGTAGATTAATCTGATCTAAGAAAATGTACTGAGAGAAAAGGAAAGGAGAAGACAGACAAGGGTAAATTACATTGCAGGAAAAGGCACAAAAACCTATTAGAGCAGAGGGAAAGAAGGGAGGGAGATGAGCATCGTTTCAACCTTACTCTCATCAGATTTGACTCAAGAAGGGAATAACATAATCAGTTAGGTATAGAAATCTAACTTGCCCTATAGGCAGTAGGAGAGAAAAGGGGAAAGAAAAGGGAGGGAAGACAGAAGGGAGGGAAGAAGTAGTAAGGGTAAAGGGGAAGAAAAGGGAGGGGGCTAATAGAAGGGAGGCAGGACTGAGGGAGGAAGTGGTCAAAAGCAAAACCTGAGTGAGAAGGGAAAAGGAGAAAGAAAAGCATAAACGGAGGGAGGGGAAGAAAGGATGGAGAGAAGGACACAGATAGTAATCATAAATACTATTGTGCTCTAAGAAATGATGAACAGGCAGACTTTAGAAAAACCTGGAAAGACTTGTATGGTCTGATGCTGAATGAAGTGAGCAGAACCAGGAGAATGTTATACACAGTAACAGCCACTAATATTGATAGACTTAACCCTTCTCAGCAATACAAGGATCTAAGACATCTCCAAAGGCCTCATGATGGAAAATGCTATCCACATCCAAAGAAAGAACTATGACGTTTGAATGCAGATAAAAGCATACTATTTGCTTTTTTTTCCTTCAGTTGTATCTTGTTTCTTCTTTCTGGTGGTTCCTTCTATTGGTTCTAATTCTTCCTTACAACATCACTAATGTGAAAATAGATTTAATAGGAATCTATACGTATAGCCTATATCAGATTGTGAGCCGTCTTGGGGAGGGAAGTGGGGAGGGAGGGGGAGAAAAATTTGAAACTCAAAAGCTTATGGAAGTGATTGTTCATAAATCAATATAAATTAATTAAAATAAATTTTTTTTAAAAAAACCTCCATCAAGGGGCAGCTAAGTGGCACCAGCCCTGAGTCAAGAGGACCTGAATTCAAATCTGAACAAGTCACTTAATCCCAATTGCCTCACCAAAAATAAATAAACAAATAAATAAATAAATAAAATCAGGACTTTAGAAAAAGGAGGAAACTCTGGGTCTTTAAAAAAAACTCTCAAGTAGGTAGTACAAATATTATTTCCATTTTACAAATGACAAAACCAAGGCTTAAAGACATTGCCCAAGGTCAAACAGCTAAATATATGTGTGACTATCCCTATTTTTAAACTGAAAATAAGGACAGTATGGTACAATGGATCAAGAAATGGGATTGGTTTTAATTCTGCTTCAGCCATTTAGTATCTGTGTGAGCCTAAGCAAGTCCCTTCAAATGTGTGAACTTTGGCTCCCTCATTAGTAAAATAAAGGTGAAAATAATAGTGCTTTACAGGGCCAGTGAAGTGCTCAAACTGGGCAATGCATATAAAGCACTTTGCAAACCTTAAAGGTATATATATATATATATATATATATATATATATATATATATATATATAATATACATATACATATACATATATATGTATATATAAGCGTGAATTATCATTCATCATCATTAGCACAAGAGCCAGGACTCTCATCTAGGTCTTCTGATCTCAGGTCCAGAGACGGTTATATTTATTCTCTGAGTTGGGGTGACTTGCCACAAGTCCATTTCACATCTTCCAACTCACCTCAACAGCCTGTTGCTCATAAAGAAGTGATTGAAGGGTATTAAACATGTTGTTCCTTTTTTAAAAGATCTGTTCCTCTTTCTTTGCCTTCTGAAGTTCCACACTGACCACTATTCTCTTTGCCTCATCAGTTAATTAGAAATAAAATCCACAAGAGTGAACTCCATGTCACCCTTCTGATTTGCAAAGTTAAAAAAAGAAAAGTCAAGTTTATCTAACTTACTGAAATGTGTAATTCCATGGGAGTAATTTACTTAGGGCTCTTAGGCTTACAAAGAGCTTCCTTCGCAATAAAGCTAGGCATCAAAGTCCTTATTTTACAGATGAGGAAACTGACTCACAGAGATTAAGAGACTTGACCACAGTCACATAGCTAGGACGATTAGAGCCAGGATCTTAATTCATATCTGTTAAACTTCAACATCAGTAGTGTTCTTTCTGATCTCTTGTTCCCAAAACGAAGGGGGGAAACCTCCTGAATCTTCTCAGAGTAAAAGAGTATATGAAAAAGAGTACATTTCTAGAATTAAATAACATGACAAATATTAATATAAATATTATAATAAATAATAAGACAATGTATAATATAATGGTAATATATTAATAAAAATAATAAACACTAGCATGACAAATAAAAGTAATTATAAAATAACATATTTATATAAATACACATGTATTCATTTCAATAACTCAGAGGATCTTATTACTTTGAGTCAAATAGCTCTTAAGAAGAAGTTGTTCAAACCCATTTGAGGAACAGGGCTAAATTTGTGATTGGAAATAGGAAAGATGACCAGATAGAATCTCAGAGGATGCAGAGAGAGGGTCCTGAGGTGAGCAAACAAACTTAACACTCCAGGCTATGTGTTATAGTTACCAACGTCACAATGTGATGTCCAGATCAGAGATTCACAGAAATAATTATGACCCAGGGTTAGTGCTCGTAACTACCACCCAAACTTATTTTAATTTAGCTTCATAGCTTTTTTCTTTCTTTCCTTATTCCAACTTTGTTGCCCATTCCAGTCTTCAGGATATGTATGCCCTTTTTTTCAGGATTTAAATTTTTTTACTTTTATTATTTAATTTGTTTAAAATGCTGAACTTAACTAATACCAAACAAAATGAACATTTCCTTATATAAAGTAGAACAGAAAAAGAAGATTGTACTTGAAGCTATAAATTAATATTATAAATGACTTGCTTTTTTTTTTTTTTGCTAGGCAATAGGGTTAAGTCACTTGCCCAGGGTTACACAGCTAGTGTTATGTGTCTGAGTTCAGATCTGAACTCAGGTCCTTCTGAATGCAGAGCCAGTGCTCTATCTACTGTGCCACCTCCCTGCCCCCTTGCTTTTCTTTTTAAGTCTATCTCTTATTTTCAAAACTGTCCTACTTGTCAGATGTCTTCTGATAGAAGACACCCAAGTCATTTTCAGCCAACTTTGCCGTAATGATGTCAATGCTGGCCTTAAAATAATTATTTGGTCCTATGAGCTTATTCTGGTCAATTACTTCTTTTTGAAGAGGAAGGGGAGGGATCTCTTCCCTCTCATATTAAAAATATAGAATACTGAACATAATTTAAACTTTTCTTGATGAAGAAAGGTCATTATAATGAACAGTATTTCTTATGTTGTGATTCAGCAATGTCCTTTTATTCTATACGTGAAAACTTATAGAACTGTTTGTCCCTATAGTACGTGGCCCCAGATTACTGTGCTTTTTCAATCCTTGTACTGTAATAAGTACTTGTTGAAGAATATTGTTTTAAGAAGAACTTTGAGTAATTAAGTAATTTTGATGATTATAAATAACCAGATTAACTACAAAGGCACAAAGGAACATGCTATCTGAATCCTGAGAAAGAACTGATAAATGGAAGTATGTATAGAATGGTTTTACATGTACATATATATATATGTGTACATATGTACATATGTACACATACATATATATGTTTATGTCTAATAGAAGCCATGGGGGAGGGTGAAACAGAGACTGAAGAAAAAAAGAGAAAAAAAGAAAGTCACATGATAACATTTTATATATTTAAAAGGAATAGCAAGTTGTACATAACAGATTTACAGGTTTCATGTACAAGAAGAAAATAACTCTTTAAAAAATGAAATTGGCCAAATGGAAAAGGAAGTACAAAAGCTCACTGAAGAAAATAATTCCTTAAAAATTAGAATTGAACAAGTGTCCATCAATTGGGGAATGGCTAAAAAGCTGTGATATATGATTGCGGTAGAATATTATTGGGCTATAAGAAATGACAAGCAGGATGACTTCAGAAAAACCTGCAAAGATGAACATGAACTGATTCAAAGTGAAACGAGCAGAACCAGGAGAATGTTGTACACAGTAACAGCAATATTGTATTATGAAGAATTGTGAATAATTTAGCTATTCTCAGCAATATAATGATCTGAAACAATCCCAAAGGACTAATGATGAAGCATACTATCTACCTCCAGAGAAAGAACTGATGTTGATTGAAGACAGACTGAAGCATGCTATTTTTCACTTTCTTTCTTTTTCATTCTTTTTTTGTATTCAAGTCTTCTTGTACAAAATGACAAATATGGAAATGTTTTACATGAATACACATGTATAAAGTATCAGATTGCTTACCATCTCAGGGAGGGGAGAGGGGACAGAAGGAAGGAGGGATAGAATTTGGAGCTCAAAACTTTTTTTAAAAAATGTTTTAAAATTGCTTTAACATGTAATCAGGGAAAAATAAAATATTATATTAAAAAGTTAGATGGAACCTGATCATACCCCCTAGATGAGCAATATTTAAGGGATCAGATAGGTATGCTGCTAGCCCAGTATTCTCTCTCCCTCTGAGGAGAGCGCAGTTGTGGTCTCTGGCCCCAGTCTCCTGTTCCCGTCCTGGTAGGAATGAAAGTCTTTCTGGGAGAAGGGTGGGAGAAGGGTGGGAGAAAAGGCTAGAGATGTATAATGTGCCTCCCACTCTCTCCACATTCATATAGCCAGATTGTCAAGTCAAGAAGCGTTTGTTAAGTGCTTGCCATGTTCTTATCATTGTGCTAAAGAAATAAAAAAAAATCCCTGCCCACAAGGAGCTTACATTCTAATTGAGGGTGACAACTCGCAAACAACTATGTACCAGATATATGCAGGAAAAATTAGAGGTAATCTCAAAGGGAAGACACTAGTATTGAGAGGGACTGGGAAAAGTTTCTAGCAAAAGGTTGAATTTTAGCTGGGACTTGAAGGAGCAGGGAAATAAAGACAGAGGGAATTTCAGGCATGGAGAGTAGCCAGAGAAAATATCCAGAGCCAAGAATAGAGTGTTTTGTTTGTGGAATTGCAAAGAGGCCAGTGTCCCTGTATCTCAGAGTATGTGGAGGGGTTGGGTCACATAAGGTGTAAGAAGACTGGAAACGTAGGCAGGGCTAGGTTATAGAAGAGAAGAGAGATACAGGATGGAGATGGATGGATCAAGTGAGTTGGGTTTTTTCTTTTTTAAGGCTGAGACGATATATTTGTAAACAAGGAGAAATGGAAGATTCATGAGACAATGAGGATGATGGAGCAATCTGCTGGAGAAGACAGGATGTGTTCATTTAAACACTTGAAGTGTTTGCCTTGGCAAGAAGGGACCATCTCTTCATGTGAGAAAGAGAGGAAGCAAGAGACAATTGAGGAAGACATCTGAGTGATGCGATATAAGGAAGGGAGAAGAGGGAACTCTCAGCAAACGGACTCAATTTTTTCAGTAAATTATGAAGCAAACTTCTAAGGGTGGGGGTAGGGAAAGCCATGGGAAGACTAAGGAGGAATGAAAAGCTCTGGAATAGCTGTTGGAGTTGAATGGGATAATGAATCAGTTAGGGCTGTATAAGAGGACTGCTTTTCAATAAAACAAATTTCTAGTGGACTCAGCCCAATTTTTCATTTTTTTTTTCAAGCTCAATTTAGCAGCATGTGGACAGAAACAAAGGCAGCAGATGGTAGAAGTAATTCAAGGCTGAGGCTTGGAAAGGCATGATTAGTGACAGGATAACAGCGCAGGAACTCAAGAGGAAAGGACCATGTAGAGTTGAACTGGTCCATCAAAGGACCGGAAAGGAGAAGTGAAGAGAATGTAATCAATGTGGGGGTTGGTGAGAGGGGTGATAGCTGGGAAAGAACTGAGAGGTAAGGATTGAAAGGCACGGTAAACATGAAGAACAGTGTTAGGGGTTGTAAGGCTCAAAGATAGATGGAATAATAAAACATTATTATATATGCCTGTTATATAATATACTATGTGGGAGGCACTAGAATAAGTCCTTGGGATACAAAGAAAGGTGAAAGGCAGCCCCAGCTCTCAAAGAGCTCGAAGTTTAGTGAGAGATAACATGCAAACAACTATGTGCAAACAATTTTTTTTGCAGGATAAATTGGGAATAATCAACAGAGGGAAGGCACGAGAATTAAGAGGAGGAGGGAAAGGTTTTCTGTAGAAGGTGAGATTTTAGCTGGAACTTGGAGGAAGCCAGGAAGACCAGGACGTGGAGTGAGAAAGGAGAGCGCTTCAGACTTCAGGCTTCAGGAGGAAGATGTCTGGAGTCAGGAAATGGAGCTTCTTGTTTGAGTAATGAGGAGGTTAGTGTCACTGGATCAAAGAGCTCATGAGAGGTGGGGAGGGGGTCTAAGAAGACTACAGAGGTGTACGTATGGAAGGGGACACAGATTATGAAGGGCTTTTTTTTTTTTTGCAATCCGTTTCCGTTTTATTTAAATTTTTTTCCATATGCTTTTGAGTTGAAAATTTTTCTCCCTTTTCCTCCCCCCCACCCTCCCAAAGATGGCGCACAATCTGATATAGGCTTTACATTTACATACCATTAAACATATTTTCACATTAGTGAAGTTGTAAGTAAAAATTAAAACCAATACGAGGAACCATCAGAAAGAGGAAACAAAACTTAACAGAAGGTAAAAATAAGTGATAGCTATTCGACTTCCATAGTTCTTTCTTTGAATGTGAATAGCATTATCCATCACGAGGCCTCTGGAGATGTCTTAGATCCTTGTAATGCTGAGAAAGGTTCAGTTTAACAATCTTAGTCATTGCATAACGTGGCTGTTATTGTGTACAAAGTT